AAAAAAAAAAAAACTCCGCAATCCTCTGCTCCCCACAGGCTGAGCACCATAAGGGACTGCTATATTTGAGGCTGTCAGGAGGATGGTCGGGAGAGACTGAGAGTCAGGGCGAGGGAGAGACTGTGCCACAGCAGCGGTAAGTGCCTTTGCCATTCCCCTAGCCGGGCACTGATTTCCCTGATTAGACTTTTGAGTCCGTGCAGATTATTTGTTGTAATATCCATCGCAGCGTCTCTGTGAGAAGCCTGCTGCGAAGCCAGCAATGGTGAGAGATCCCATCTTTCGGTTCCAGCTGCAGGTTTATATGTCTCGATTTTTTTCTTGGTTTTGAGTCTTATATTGAAACTGTTGCCATCACAGAAGAGAGAAGTTGGAGCAGAAATTGTTGTGATCTGTTATATGCCTCCTGCCAATTAACTAGCCAGCAAACTATTGCTGTGAATGAGTTGTGAAGAGAGATGTGAAGCTCTTAGAAAGAACAAATATATACTCTAGAGGAAGAATGTCTTTTCTTAATGTGCTAATTTTTTTTATGTTTGAGAGAGCTAACAAGCTAATGCTTGAGGGGGAAGTAGAAAATAATCTAATGTATTGACTTTATAGGGATGCACTAGAAGTTGTGTTGTTGTGAAGTTCAGAATGGTACTTGGCTTTAGGATAAACAATTATCTCCTGAATTAGAAAAGTACTATGTCTGGACTGTGTTCCTGCAGCTGACAGGCAAAGAAGTAAATGGAATTACATAAAGATGCACTGATTTTCCCCTCTGAAGTGAATACAGGGAGTAAGAAGACTATGTGGACTGTTTCTGAGCTGGCTAGAAGATGAACTGAGAATTATTCCTGGAACATAGAGTATGGTATTGTGTCTCCAAGATTTTTATCTCAGAAAAAATCAGCATCCATTAAGCTAGCTATACTTATTGAGATGTTTAGTTTCATACCTCCTGAGCACAGAAACTTCCTAAAGCATAAGTTATACAATAAGATAGTGTAATGTGACTACCTAAAACTAAAGTTTTCTCTTTGTTGTAACATTTCAGGAATTTACCATAAAATTTTGGCAAAGGTTGTTCACTTTTTTTCTTTAAAAAGTAATATTTTCCTTGAATGACATGTTTTCAGTGATATTTTAAATGAATGCCAAGATCTTTTAAAATAAGAGTTACAGTTTTCCCCTAGTCTTTGGTGAGCTTTGGATCAAACCCTAAAGTTTGAAATGACAGATAAATTACATGCTGACTGATAGACAAAAGCTAAGGGGAATTCCTAACAATTAAAATTTGGATGACATTTTCCAATTAGTAGAAGTGCAATTAATTATTATTGAGTTATATAGTAGAACTCCTTTAGAAGTACTTTAAGACAATCAATATTAGCGCAAAATCAGTTCATCATGATTAATATTATTACAGTGAACACCAAAGGAGTAAGCAATAATTGGGCTATTATTTTAAAGTGTTATCAAAACGTCTATTGGAATTTGTAAATATATTCCTTTCAGTAAATTGTCTTTAATTATTACATCATTTATCTGCAAAGTTTAAAAAAAAAAAACAAACTTTCAATATCTATCCTGGAATTTGGAAAAAAGTTGTTTCCTAGTGTGAGGTGTACTAAAAGGAAGGCAGAAATTGAGATGTGAACTATGGTAATTAAAGAATATTTCACATACCGTGGCCCTCTGTGGCAATATAACTTTAACTATGTGAATGATTAAGAAATGTGATTACGAGGGCAAAGCCTTAGAAGACTACAACTATAAAGAAAGGGAGGCTGAAGCGTTAAGCTTTAATAAACTTGAAAACTGTTAAATAATTTTAAAAAGTGGCCTAATCAACATACAATTCTTTTATGCCAGAGCAAATGTCCCTGCAAAAACTCAGAGCTAGCAATATGTGACATAAAAGTATGAAGATAGCTACGGATGATCTGGAGAGTAAGAGTGTAGATTTCAGTTTTGTTGTTCAACATGAAGCTGAAGGTCATATTTTGAATTCTAGGTTAAACTGTCAGGGGAAGGGATTTTTAATTTCATTCTGTAACCAGGGCAGATGTACTAAGAATGAAAATAGAAAATGCAAAAAATCTGACTTACTGAATTATAGCTGTGAATTTGGAAGAAAGTAACTTTGAAAACAGATCTTTGAGGAAAAAATATCCTAGCAGCTAGCATAAAAGCGGATGATTAAAAACTGCTGTTAGGAAATATTAAGGGCAACTTAAAGAAATACATAACTCAGAGAACTCTCAGCGCAGATTCAATATAGGAAGGTCACGACTAGCAAATTTGCTCAAATTCCCTGAATAAGTTGCTGACGTGGTAGACTATTGGGGAATCAGTGGTATGATTTATGGGGGTTTCAGAAAATGTCCAGTTCTGTGCTCTACAAAATATTGATTTGGAAAGTAAATTTTGGAAGGAGTACTGGAAGGGATTCAAACCTAACAAGGGGCCAGAGGGTGTCAGTAAAGGTAAAGAACTCCGGATGAAAGGAGGAGGTGTTCTAAGTGACAGTCTGAGGTCCATTTTTCTGCTTGTTGTGCAGCTGGTGCGTGCAAAAAGAGTACATCTGATTCTCTAGCAATATAGAAAGATCTGTTCCTTTGAACAGATTCAACACACAAAAAGTTTTCTGGCTAGGTTAAATCTAGGAATATTTATTTTAAGTAATTAATGAAAGTCTACTAAAGGCATCATGGAAAAGTGTCTGTTAAGAATATACATGGCAAAAGGCTGGAATTGAGCCAGCTGAGGTGACTGGTTCAGTGACTTTGCAAAAAATAGTTCTTCTAAATGTTTTTATCTTTCTGCATGCAGCCTGCAACACAGATTTTGGTTCTTCTGAATTCACTGCATAATTTGCCACTCTTGCTCTCCTCCTTCTGTATATTCCTGCTAACAGCTTGTGTGTTGCACTTTCTTTCAGTTCCAGAACCACCTCAATCATTTAAACAATTTCTCATACCCTAAAATACCAAACTAAAATCTGCCATGGTCTACACTGTGGTCTTAGTTCCTGAGAATGAATGTCAAATACACATTTGTCATCTAATAGTATATTGGTAGGTGTTTCACAAGTTTTTTTTTTTTTTTCCTTTCTTTCTACACATGCTTTTTTTCAGGGTCTGTTCTGCTCTGTGTTATCAACTTCTTAGCACTTCACAAGGGAAAAATATTCTGGTCGGAAGTGACGGAGTCCCTGCAGAGTTTTAGTTTCTGAGCAATTCTGATCAATAATATCACATTAGAGGCCGGTATCTTTTTAAAACATTATGAAATTCTTAAAAAATTGTAATCTAAATGCATTCTGATACTATTCAAATTTAAGATTTGAAACCCACATAATATGTGAGTATATATGTATATCTGCATGTGTTTATGCACATACATATACATATGTATTAGGGTAATGATTCCGTGTCTTTGCAAGCTGGGAGGGAAGTAGCAATAAAACATTTTCTTGTTAGTGGAAGGAAATGTAATTTTTTTTTTTAATAAATTTCCTAGATGATTTATGAAAATATCCCAAAGTATATGAATCATTACAAACTGTGATCTTTGCTCATATGCTGCTTTCAAAAACGGAGTTCGGAATGATTTCGCACTGTACTTTCTAAAAGCTACAAATCAGGTTTTAGGAGTTGCAACTCGATGTAAAACATGGGAATTAGGAGATTCTGTATGCTGTAGGTATGATAAAATATTAGGCTTACCAACCATGTTATAGCTGATGTTCTTGAGCATGCATGCCCAAACTTATTCTGCATAGGCACCCACCAAGACTAGCTTGCAAGCTTGTGGAGTCTGGAGTCTGCCATGAAAACGAGAGGGTAGTGCATGCTTTCAAATAGTAGTTATCAACACCCTAGTTCACTTCTTTATGTCTCCTTCAGGACCAAACTTACACATCAGTTTTTGGAAAAAATGATCACTCTTCTCCATGCCCATGCCTTGAAATAGAAAACAGATCAAACTCTTTCCATTTCTCAGAAACTTCTTGGAGTTTTATTTTTTCAGGATGCTCTTAAAGGTTTTATTGTAGATGGTTTTAAACCATGGTGATAGCTATGGAGAACCTTCTTCTACTTAAAGTAAAAGCAGATAAACATTGAAGGTAGTTTATTATAGTTACTGAGACAAGAGTAAAGGGTGACAACCTTCCACTTAGCATACAAGAAGAGGGTCTTCAACCTACTTGTGAGTGAGAAATGCTCAAAGTTGTTTGTATCCAGAAGTTTTTAGATTTACTATGTGTCCAGGGGGATTCCTAGCCTGCAAGTCATTTTGATGAAGGCTGTGTGTACAGCTTTGTAATTCATGTAGACAGCTCACCCTTTTAGGTGTTTCCCCTTAGTAAATAGCATCAGTTGCAAGAATACATGAAACCCATATTATCTTTATTGATTTTATTCATTAAGTGCATGAGGGACATTGCCCTGCAGATGTAGCATTCCTGGTTACTACCTATTTTCCACAGCAATATATTTGACCAAGACAGCTAGATTCGACCAGTTCGACTACTTAATTTGATAACTAGACAGATGGACAGATGAATGAAAAGAGTTTGTTCACAAGCATTGGAAGATGCTGATCTAACAGCATTACCTCCTCATAATATTATTTTGAGAAGACATTCAAACACTATGCTTGAAGAATTGTAATTCTTGCTTAGGCATGAAAGCAGGGGTATCTAGAAGATGTGTTTGTTGCAGTAATCTGTCCTCCAGAATGTACTCTCAGCTGTGTAGTAAATTGGCAAGGATATTAGTGGAAGGTTACTTTTTTGAAAAAGTGATCAACTATCATGTGTTTACATACACATGCATATTCTTTGCTGAGAGACAGCTGATCATGCCCATTAAATTACTCTATAGACTTTTATAGGCTCTTCTCACTCAGATCCAAATCTCCATATAAATGTGAATCTTAATGAATAGAACCATATGAAAACGAGTCAGCAAAGTCACAGTATATATTTCATCCCTTCTTCAGAGGTGGTTCTCACAGAGAACATTTTCCAGAAGTCGAGTGTCTTAGTCAATCAAAAAATGATCCTGAACATACTGGAAAACTTGTAGCATCCAGCACTATTGATATCATGTTTGCATTACTGTGATATAATCATGATTATTC